GATCTCTAGATAAGAATTACAACGACAAGGATTTCCAAATTTCCTGGTCGGATCCAGGCCGGCATTTCTGGGCCAAATTTATCAGCTAGTATGACTTCATTAGTATTTTAATGATCTTGGGCAAATTAGTCATTCCGTCCCTGCAGATCCTGCAGATGAGGTATTCCGACCCGGAAATTTGGGGACCTCCCTAAATCCGCCCAATATGTATTGCAAAATAATAAACATTATGCAATCTTATTGGGTAATTATCACGGGTAATCACGGGTAGATCTATAAAAATTGACTAATCAGACGAATGTCTTTCTTTGAAGTAAGTACGTACGTACCTCAATCAGTCAAAGTTTTTACCTACCGAGACAAGCAAGAAACTTCAAGAATGTCGAAAACCGAATACTATTCTGAGGAAGAGGAGTTCCAGTGCCCTCTCTGTATGGAAGAGATGGATCTATCTGATAGGAATTTCAGACCATGCCCTTGTGGTTATCAGGTGAGATTTCAGTGGGCCGAACAAGAAAAATTTCTTAAACGTAATACATATATACTTTTGAGGGAGGTTTGAGCTGTTTTGTTTGTGAGAAAAGGCTTTGATACTAATTTCAAGACCGTGAACAAGACGTTTGTTTCATTGAAACATGTATAATGTCAGAATAAACTAATTTCTAATTCTTACTATTTATAATTAAGATTTGTCGATTTTGCTGGCATCATATTCAAGAAAATTTGAACGGACTCTGTCCTGCTTGTCGTAGAGTATATTCTGAACAAACTATTGAATTTAAGCCCATATCAGCTGAAGAGTAAGTTAAAAATTGTTAACATGTTTTAATAAATTAAAATTATGATAAAAAAATTTTACTTTCAAATTCACATTATTAATGAAAAAATTTCAACACATTTACGTCGTTTAGGTTAGCAAGGATCAAGAATGAAAAGAAGCAAAGGGAGCGTGAAAAAAAGGAGCTTGAAGCGATGAACAGAAAACATCTGTCCAACATGAGAGTGGTTCAAAAAAACCTGGTTTACGTGATTGGACTGAGCCCGAAGATTGCGAATGAGGAGGTAGGCGATGGTTAAAACAACAAATATCGCCTTTTCTCCATATGATCAGTATCAGTAGTTTATTGAATTGTTGTCAAACCTCGCACTCAACTCGCGTTGTTCTTAAAGATACTACGATCTCATGACTATTTTGGCCAATACGGTAAGATCGCCAAAATTGTCGTAAATCGTCGGAATCCTCCAGCATCGACTGTCCCCAGCACACCTCCACCTCAGCCTAGCGTTGGAGTTTATATCACATACGTACGAAAAGAAGACGCAGCAAGAGCAATAGCCGCTGTGGATGGCAGTAATTCGGACGGCAAAGTGTTGAGGTTAAAATTCATACCACTGTTTCCACAATTGACAGAGGATGCTCGTTTATTTGATTTTATTTTCTTCGTTTGCAATGTCTAATTTGCTTATTAACGTCTCGAACGCAGGGCATCATACGGTACAACAAAATATTGCACATACTATTTGCGCAGTATGGTCTGTCAAAATCCCAATTGCATGTATTTACATGAACCAGGAGAAGAAGCAGATAGTTACACCAAGGAGGATTTGGCTTCTGTGTAAGTTTTTTTTTTTTTCTCTTTTTTTTTTCCACGTAATTTCAACACATCTCTGCTTGCTAATTTATAATCGACAATATAGCAAGTATCATCTCAAGGAACATGCAAACACCGAAGCACATAAGATTCAATTAGGTCGACCACCTTCATCAGGACCAACCACAGTGTTTCCTCCGCCACATTCTACTCAACCGCATACTGTTAAGAAAGCAGAGCCTTCTCCGCACCGGATAGTTGGACCAGAAAGTGATAGAGGAAGTAACGACGAGAGGGAAGAGGGTAAATTTAATATATATATGCATTTAGCGTAAATTTCAATTCTTGTTAAATATTATATATAAAAAACAGCTTCAGCATTACCTCCAACTGCTTCTTGGGCCACCAAACCATCAAGCACAGAAACCACACCAATATTACATAATCAGCAACTACCTACATCACAGCCATCACACTCAGTACAGACACCTTTGTTGCAGTCATCACAAAATTCTTCATTCACACATGCATCAAACTCACAACAGTCCTCTCCCACACCATCATCGTCTCAGGATCCAAAGGCAAAACGTTTATCAGATGCACAATCTATAAATGCAAAAGTGGTCAAAAAAATGGATTATGTTCCTATGTCACTTTCAACGGGATCGACTGTAA